CTAATCCTGTCGAGTTCGATCTTTTTCGGTCTCCAGTGTCCGGTCCGCTCCGGTCTTGGTTGTGTCCTGTGTTGTCTCCGGTCGGGTCCGATCCCGATTCGCGGGGTGGGTTGGATATCGCCCACCTGTTCCCCGTTCCCCGTTCGCTGCCTCTTTGGGCTCTTCTCACACCGAGCGACGAAATCAGTAACCAGCCTCCGGCGGGGCCCCCCGCTACCATCCAAACCCGAGTACAAAGCGCGCCTCCTGCGCGCCTCTCCGAGGCGCTGCGCAGATGGTCTACGAATCAGCGCGGGCGGACGGACTCGGACGGGGCGGAGCAGCGACCGCCTGGGCGGCCGCTGCTCTGTCTGCCTGAGCGCGCCGTCTGTGCGCAGCTCGAGCGCCGTCAGGTGCAGGGAAGCGTGGCAGCGCGGGGAAACGCGGCGGCGGTGGCGAGCAGGCGAGCGGCCCGCGCGCGGCGAGGCGGACAGGTGATCGGCAGGCGGGTGATGGGCCGCAGAGTGACCGCGCCCAGCGATCGGAGGCGAGCCGATCGTCGCTCGGCCGCTGCTGACCTCGAAGGCGTGCGGAGCGCGACTGTCGGTGTCGGGGGGCGGCCGTCATGTGGCGAGGAGGGAGGACGACAAGTGCGCGTCGTACGGGTCGCTCTTCATCGGCCAGTCGAGCGGCACTCAAGTCGAGACCGAAGGAAAGCATGACCGTGAAATCTGCTTTTTGCCAAAGCTTGTGACGAGGTTTGCCACGAAAAGCATCCCCGGTGGAAATGGGGCTACTGGGGCGGCCAATTCACACCTCGCGGGACTACTTATGTTTTCGTAAACGTAGTCGTGGCCCCCCGCTACGTCGCACGAGTGCACAACCGGGTAGCGGGGGGCTAAAACTGAGATTTGTGGCTGAAATCTCGACGAAGGTTTGGGAGATCTCAAGCCGGCGGGACTAGAGACTGAGATCTGCCGTGAAATCTTCAGGTCTCGCTCCTCTCAATCTCTAAGAGAAGAGATTTCGATGACTGTAGTGTGGAGACGCCGTGTGTGCCGCGGGGCTCCTGCCCGTGTCCGGGTGTGGAGATGCGAGGGTCGCCCCCCCTTGCCCCACCACTTTGTGTGTGTGGGCGGGGCCCGATCCAAGGAGCACCCCGTCGGCCCGGGAGGGCGGTGAATTTCGGCGCGGGCGGAAGGCTGCCTGCAGACGCTCAGCCCCCGGCTGAGCTGCCGAATCCTCCCGGCTAATCCCCTGACCTGCCGCCTGAAACGGGACAACATTACACCACCTCACACTCACTCCCCCCTCAGGGCTAAGCAGTGCGCAAGTCCACCCGAACTCTAGGCGAGGCGTCGACCACTCCTTCGGAATAGCTCTGTCAGTGGCTGCACTAGACGCCCAGAGATGGCGCGCGGCGCGGGCGGATGACTGGAAGAGAAAATGCGGAGATGCTAGCCCGCAGGTAGACGTGTGCTCAGCCAAGGGCAGGGGATGAGGGGAATGTGTCAGTGTGAGGGGTGCACCAACCGCAGAGCGTTGTGTTTTGCCTTTAAGACTTGAACAGTTTTGTGTGTGTGTGGAGAAATTTACCTTACCTTACCTTACCTTGTACCGTGGGGCCTTGTTGTCCTCCAAACCTCCTCGTTTCTTAAAAGGTCTTAAAAAATCCGGCCCTCAGAACCCTAGGGGTCCCCTAAGCCGACCAACGACTGGGACACCAACGCGGTATGGGTGGACGCTAGACGGGCGATGACGGTCACACAGGAGCGACACACAGAACCACAAGACAAGACACTCAGCCGAACTGACTGCCACACATCCTGAGCGAACTTCCCTAGTCACCCGCGGCCGGACTCCATCCGGCACGCGTCGCTGGGCGCTCAGAGCTGCGTCCCCTGCTCGCCACCCCGACGCCGAAGGCGCCCGAGCGAACGACAGGCGGCACGCGAAGACTGGTTGCAATCCCGCCGACCGCCAGGCCGCGGGATGATGCGTGCGTGGTCTTGTAGTGGTCTCGGAAGCTCTCCTCTCGGGCTAGGAGCCAGCCCCTCTCCCTTGCCCTCGGAACACTGTGTCCGAGTCGAGGCGTGTGCTTGCCGGTCGACGGCCGCGCGCGGTTGGCATTGTGACGAGGGTTGCGCGCGGCCGCGGCGCGCCCGCCATGGTTCGGCGCGGCGCGCCTACCAGCGGCAATTGTCGAGGCACGGGAACGCTTACCCGGGGTCATCCTCTGAGCCTGGTCGTCGGCGCCGCGATGCCACGGCGGCGCATTCGACGTCGTCGGCGCGCTGCCCCGCGGTGAGCCCCGCCGCACGTGGCGACGGCCGCAGGTTGGCCCGGTGCACTGCGGCATCAGTGCTCTTCACACGACCTGGCGAAGGCTCCTGCCTGAACCGCAACCACTCGTTGATCACGTGCCCCCCCCGCGCCAGCCGCCCGCGTGTGAGTACGAGTACGGAGGGGGCCATTGCAGAGCGCGTGCGCTTCCCACCGAGCCAGCCAGTACTAGCCGCGTTGGCATGGAGCATTCGTGGGAGACGGCAGCCTCGCTCGCCTCGCTAGGAGGCGAGAGCGAGGAAGAGGAGGAGGCGTTCCGCCCTCCCGTCTCCGCGGCGGCGGGCGGCGACGACGGACTGGACGAGCCCGTCCTCCTCGTTGACCTCGCTGCGGTCGCCGCGTCGGCGGGCGGCGCCGTCACAGACATGCAGCAGGCGCGGACGATGGTGTTGGAGGCGCTGGGCGGCGAGGACGAGTTCCTCGCCCGCTCCGAGAACCTCTTCGCCTCGGGCCACTGCCGCCACGCCGAGCGTCGCAGCTGCGGCGCCGAGCGCGAGGCGATGGAGGCGGAGCGCGGTGGCGGCGCGGTCGTGTCGGTGATCTTCTACCCTCCGATCTGCGGCGGCGTGCCGCTGCGCGAGCTGTGGCGCGCGGTGCGCGAGCCGTCCGAGTGGGAGGTCGTCGATGA